GCTCCCTGCGGGGGAGCCCGAGGTGGGACTTGATCCCAGGATCCTGGGATCACCATCTGAGCCAAAGGCAAGACGCTCAACCACTGAACCACCCAGGTGCCCCTCTTTTTTTCTTATTAAGAGATTTATTTATTTATTTGAGAGAGAAAGAGTGAGAGAGCATAAACGCGAGCAGGGGAAGGGCAGAGGAAAAGAATCTTAAGTGGACTCCAGGCTGAGTGTGGAGCCGGACTCTGGGCACCACCTCATGACCCTGAGATCATGAACTGAGCGGAAACCAAGAGTCCTGATGTTTAACTGACTGAGCCACCCAGGCGTCCCAGATACAAGTTTTCTAATGGGATTAATGATATCTTGCCTTTTTGTTTCACTTAACAATACATCATAAAATTTTCTCTCATGAAATACTCTCTTGCATCAGTGGTTCTTAAAGTGTGTTTGGGGGATCCCTAGGGATTCCCAAGATTTTCAGGGATTCTGTTGGGTTGAAGCAATTTTCAAAATAATATGAGGACATTATTTGCCTTTTCACTGCCATTCTCTGAGGAGCATACAGTGGAGTTTCCAGAGGCTGTGTGCACGGTATTTAGGATAGGCTGAATGCAAAAGTAAACACACAAATCTTCTAATATATACATACGTAACACACAAACCTTCTATTAAGCTAGACTAACTTAAAGAGATTTACAAAGGGGTAAAACAATGCCTTTCTCATTAATTCTTTGTATTTTGGAAAATAGTTATTTTTCATAAAAATATGTTTCTTGGGAGAACATGAAATGGGTTCATTAAAAAAAACATTTTATTTATTTATTCATGAGAGACACAGAGAGAGAGAGAGAGGCAGAGACACAAGCAGAGGGAGAAACAGGCTCCATGCAGGAAGCCTGATGTGGGACTCGATCTGGGAACCCCAGGATCATGCCCTGAGCTAAATGGAGACACTTAACTGCTGAGCCACCCAGGCGTTCAGAAATGGGTTCATTAATGTTATTTTAAAAAATATTTTATTTGTTATTTATTTATTTGAAAGAGAGAGAGAATCTCAAGTAGGACCCGAGCTGAGTGCGGCACCCAAAGTGGGGCTGGATCCCACGACCCCAAGATCATGACCTAAGCCAAATTCAAGAGTGGAATGACTGACTAAGCCGCCCAGGCACATCTAACCTTAACCTTAGGTGTATACCCGCTTAGTCTTTTCTAGATAGGTGGATGGACAGATAGGAATTATCTTTTTTTCTTTTTTCTTTTATTTACTTTTTAAAAAGATTTTATTGTATTTATTTATTTTTGAGAGACACACAGTGAGAGGCAGAGACACAGGCAGAGGGAGAAGTGGGCTCCCCTGCAAGGGGGGAGGAATAAAAAAATTCATATTTTAAATGAATTAACGAATAGATATTTTTGAAATTCCTTCATTTTCATTTTGAATATACCAAATATTGAAAGATAGGACCCATCTAAGTAGAAGCTCTTTGGTGTCCTCCATACTTTTAAAAAGTGTAAAGGGATTCTGAGCTGAGCACTTGGGAACAACTAGTTGTTCTACATCGTCAGTTTTTTTTTTTTTAAAGATTTTATTTATTTATTCATGAGAGACACGCAATGAGAGTCAGGGACATGGGCAGCGGGATAAGCAGGCTACCTGTGGCGAGCTTGATGTAGGACTCAATCCTCGGACCCTGGGATCATGACCTGAGCCAAAGGCAGATGCTCAACCACTGAGCCACACAGGCATCTCTACATCAGTAGTTTTGATGACTGCTTAGCTTCCCTTCATGTGGATGTCCCTAATTCATTCATTCACAAATTTCCTTATCAATAGACCTGCAGGTTGCTTCTAATTTTCGTTACTATAAAAGTGCTGCATGAACCATCATGTACTTATGTAAAGTGAAAACCTACTGAATTCAGAGAAAACAACAGAAACCAACTGGTAGGGTGAGCCATCACTACAGTCCCTAGCAATCGAATTAAACACAATGTATCACAAGACAGGAACAAATAAAGTTGAAAATCTCTGTATGCATTGAATATATATGAATGTGTCCACATACACATTACCTCTATGTAGTCTCATGCTCTGTAAAAGAGTATCTTTTTTCCTGTTGTCCATGAAGTGTTTACAAAATCTGATCATATTCTAGACTAGTGCTACCGACAATATAAAACTCTTTGGTACCATTACAGAAACTGAGAAGAAGAGTTTAGAAACTTTTTTTTTAATTTTTTTTTTTTATGATAGTCACAGAGAGAGAGAGAGAGAGGCAGAGACACAGGCAGAGGGAGAAGCAGGCTCCATGCACCGGGAGCCCGACGTGGGACTCGATCCCGGGTCTCCAGGATCGCGCCCTGGGCCAAAGGCAGGCGCCAAACCGCTGTGCCACCCAGGGATCCCGAGTTTAGAAACTTTTAAGCCATTTGAGAGAGAAATTTTATCTCTGTAGAAATTTTAAAATTCTAAAAAAAAAAGGAGTACTAAGAATATGTTGCAAACATTTTTTTAGGGGGGTATACTTGAGAATATTTCTGTTGGATAGATAGATTCTAAGAAGTGGACTTGCTAGGCCAGTGGACATGTGCATTTGCATGTTAACAGTTATTGCCAAGTTACCTGTAAATTTGATGTAAATACATCAAACACACCAACAATGTACTTGGGCACCTGCTCTCTCACACCCTGGACAATACCAAAGATAACTACTCTTTTAAATCTTTTTCTATTTTATTTTATTTTATTAAAATATTTTTATTTATTTGAAAGAGAGAATGTGTGATCACGAACAGGGGGTCAGGGAGGGAAGGAGCAGAGGGAGAGGGAGAAGCAGGCTCCCCAATGTGGGGCTCGATCATAGAACCCTGGGGTCATGACCTGAGCTGAAGGAAGATGCTTAACTGACAGCCACCCAGGCACCCACCCTCTTTTCTTTCCTTTTTTTTTTTTTTAAGATTTTCTATTCCTATTTTAGTAGGCTAAAAGACTTATTTTCATATTCTGTGAACTGCTTATTCATATCCTTTACTGTTTTCTGGGTTTTTTTTTCTTTTTCTGGAATCCTTATCTATTTTGGACATGGATCTTTTGTCTGTATCGGTTATGGGGTTTGTCTTTAAGTCTCCTTATATGTCTCACTCACTGTGGTATAGAAACTTTGCCTTTTAAAAAATTTGTTTTAACCTATTAATCACTTCCTTTATGGTTCTGGGATTCTTGTTTAGAAAGTCTTTCCTTGTTGCATAATTTTAAAAACACTCTCTTTTTCTGTAATATACTTGCAGCTTTTCTTCTCTCTCTTCTTCTCTCTTCCTTCTCTTTTCTTTTAGTGTTTAGATCTTTAACATGCCCAGAATGAATTGTTCTTTCAGCACAAGGTACTGACTACTGACCTTTGTAAGCCATACAGTGAAGTATCGCAGGGTGTCAGCAATGGGCTTGAGCCTCTGTAAGGACCACCCCCCCACGTGGCTGAGGACCTGCTGTGGCTGGAGCTTAGCTGGTCCCCAAGGTAGACAGATATCTGAACCCCTCTGGTTTGAGAGGGGAGACAAGCTACATTTCAGAATCCTTCCAAATGTGTTAGAGCTGCTATGGGCATCTGTAGGCCAAGTCCATGAGCAGAGCTAATAGATTTTCCCAGGAAAATACCCAAACATCTTTAACATGCTACGTGGTTCACAAGTAGCTTCCCTGTCTACCATCCCACTCCATGCCGACATCGCACATGGAGACGGAGGAGGATTCAGCATCCTCATTTTACCATTATGGGAAGATAAGGTACAGCGGGGTTAAGGGGTGTGCCTGAGATCACATGGCTGGCAGGTAGCAGAGCCAGCTAGAACCCAGACTTCCTGCCACCCAGGTCATGGCTCCTCAGACCTGTCTGTGCATCGGGCTCTGTCTTCAGTATCTTGGGAAGGAAGATATGGCCCAAGGCTTTCCCAAATCTCTGTTCTCCCACCGTGGGTAGGAGAGACTGGAAAAATCCATCTTCTACCACCAACTGATGATAGATTTCGAAAACTAAGGCTTCTTTCCGCACGTACCTCCTCCTCCCCTGAGTGGTTTGGTGGAGGGTGGGAGTGGAGATGAGTCAGGCCGGGAAGGGAGAGCTCAGCCATAAACAAGCCAGACTGACAACGAGCACTTTCCCTGAGGCGCGTGACCTCCCACGGGCCTCCAGGGACTCTGCCTGAATGCAGAGCTTCAAAATTTCATGATCTAGGCTTTGCAGATTTAATTTGCTAGAGTCACAAAGGCAGCCACAGAAGGGGAAAACCTTTAGCTAGGAAGTGGGGATGACGGAGAAGGTAAATTATTTCCAGCTTCTTAGTGGAGAGCTTGCAATTTTTTTTTTTTTAATGAGTGTGTCATTTTTGCAGATGCCCCGTGTGCCTATGGCTGGGTCTTCATCCCTTCCAGCTCCAAACCAAAAGGACATCCAGGGGCACCTGGGTGGCTCAGTCGGTTAAGCATCTGCGTTCGGCTCAGGTCAGCTCAGGGATCCAGCCCCTCATGGGGCTCCCTGCTCAGCGGGGAGTCTGCTTCTCACTCTCCCCTTCCTCCTCCCCCCTGCTCATATGCTCTCTCTCCCTTGTCAGATCGATAAATAAAGCCTTTAAAACAAAACAAAAGGACATCCAGGACACAGAATTGCAGAGCTGGACCCGGTCCCAGAGATCACCTAGGGATCGGATGTTCCAATCCAGAGTGTTGATGGGAAAACCATGTAGACGAAGGGAAGTGAGTTGTCCAAGCGCTTTAGGGAAGCAATCTTTGGGGAAGTTTTGGGAACGCATCTCAGGTCTCCTGGATCCTGGCCTGCATTTGTTTTGGTGAATCTCAGGAAAACCCTGGGGAGGGCATAGCCACCAGACACATGACAAACACAGTAAAAAGGCAAGGGGCACAGAGAGAAATGGGGGCAACAGTCTCAGCAGCGACCGGCCAGGGCTTCTCCTTGCTCGGGACAGCTGCCCGGCCAGAGAGGTGCAAGTCCTACCTGCTCCAGGGGGATGACCAGGAAGGAGCCGCCTCCTGCGCTCTCGGTGACGATGGCCAGGAAGCGGGCGTTGACGGCACAGAAGTGGTTATCGTGCACATTTTTGGTGATGGGGATACCGTCGAAGCAGTGCTCCCGGTTGGCCACCTTCCCGTAGACATTCCGGAACTTGGAGCTGCGGTATTGTGGGCGCCAGGACATCTGTGAGGGACCAGGAGAGACAAGGGTCAGGCAGGTCACTGCTTTGGGAAGGGCCTTAGCTGGGCACTGGAGGGGAAGGAAGTGGAGAGAGAGGAGGAAGCACCCAACCTCTGTGCCCAGCCCTGGGCTAGAGGACTTCCTCTCCTAGTAAGTCCTGTAAGAGCGTAGACATGCATGAGGGCACTCATACATTTCCTGCCTTTGGTACACACTCCCATCCACCTTCCAGAAAAGATGTAAGGTCCTTTCACTTCCCAGGGACATGGCATGTGACAGAGCAGACCATCCGCCCAACAACACGTATGGGCTGCTTTCTGCATATCAAAGACTCAGCTCAATTCAGTATGGAGGTCTGTACCTCCAGAGGCAGCTGGGTGTCTACAAGGACAAAGAACACTGCTGTTGGTGAGGGAGGGGGGACCTGTGCAAAGAGACAGATGACCATCCATTATCCTCCCCTCCTCTGGTTCTCTCTAGAGCTTCTAATCCACAAATGCACCCTCAGAAATCTCATAGTCCCATCTATCATCATCATCATCATCATCACTAGGCACAGAGGGTTCAAATGACTGCTCCAAGGTCACATAGCTAATAAATAGAGCCCTGAACACAGGTCCCCTGACTGGAAATCTGAGACTCTTTCCTGTGCCAGAAATACCCTTTGGAACAAGGTTTCTCAGTGTGGGGTTGAGGATTAATTACCTGGATCAAAATCATCTGAGCCTCTCACATTGTTGGTGAGAAATACAGATCCCTGGGTCCCAGTCCAGACCTACTGAACCCAGGATTTGGGGGATGGGACCAGAGACTAGCATTTTAATTCAGCTTTTCACCCACCTACAGGAAATGCTCAGTAAGGCAGAAACGCACTAAATTTTGAGAGCCCACCCCCCTCTCAACCCAACACGAGCTCTAACCAATAACATTGATAACACGAGCTCTAACCAATCAACCAACCAACCAACCAGCCAGTCAGCCAACCAACCAGTCAACCAACCAACCAATCAGCCAACAATCAACCGACCAACCAGCCAACCAACCAGCCAACCAACCAACCAGCCAACAACCAACCAACCAGCCAGCCAACCAACCAACCAACCAACCAGCCAATCAACCAGCCAGCCAACCAGCCAGCCAGCCGATCCCTGCTGCATGTGTGTCCTGTGCCCTGCAGCTGAGAACGCAGCTGTGCATGAGTGGGAGGCCGGAGCAGGTGGGCAGCACACAATGGAGTCCAGCTTCACTACAGGATGGTGCCTCCTAGGGGGAAGCCCTACAAATGGTCATCCTCATAGATGGAACCCAAATCCATGTTCTCCTGGTAGACATACCTCCAAGTATGGCAGGCCTCACGCAGGTATCAGGGCCTGGCATACAGCTAGAGCTCGATAGCCCTCGGTAAATGAGTATGCTCTTGGCCCAACTCTGCCGCTATCAATGCCTTCCCGCTCCTGCCAAATCTCCTGTTGTCTCCTGCCCCATCTCAGGACAGAAAGAGGCAAGGGTTATTTCCCTACAGGAAATTTCCACGGGAAGGAAAGACAAAAGGCAGCACAGAATCAGGACATTAACTCTGGGTATTTGAAAACAAAACTTTGCATTGGATTGAAATAAAGCCGGGAGCTCAGCTGCAAAGTTCTCCTCATTGAAGGAAGGAGTTCAGATCCAGTAAGGAGGTTCTCAGGGAGGGTTTCTCACCTGCAGGCAAATTCTCTTCCCACCTGCCCCCCAGGGGACCCCTCACCTGCACCTTCTCCACTCTCAGGGTGTCAAGTCCACATCAGGATTACACCAGCGATGCCCAGGGTGGGGCCCCAGGTGGTCGCGGATGATCCCCTTACACGGTACAGAGATGAAGTTTTTAATTTGAGTTGTTATGTGTTTATTTTAATTTGCATTAGAAATAATATAACTTGCATGCTAAATCCACAATTTCACAGATACTACTGCTAATAAGGCTAAGTTAAAAAATAATGAATCAATTTAAAAAAATACAGTATGAAAAATATAGCATAGACCTGGCAAAAATTCAGTCTGATATGGGAATGCTAGAAATTGCTCTGTCCCTTCCAGGTAGAACATTCTAGATTCCACAGTTCCCATGAAAGAGAAGGAAAGAAATTCCACCTCCTGTTCCTTGCTGCTGCATTCCCGGGCTGGAATACCTTCACGCCTCTTCCCTGCCCAGGCCAGCCTGAGCCTTTGAGGGCCGGACTCAACTTGGGACTCCATAGCCCCAGACTCCTCAGAGCCCCTGGACAGCCAGCACCTCTCCCTCGGCGACTAGTCTCCACTGTGTCACCGGCTCTCTCTTCCCAGGAAGTTAGTCTCAGCTCCGTGATGGCAAGTGGTGACCCCAGGGCCTTTGAGCCTCACTGAAGACTGGTCTCTGCTCTTCCTGGGCAGCCCACATGTGTCCTGGATGCCCCGGGACACCTGCTAGGCACCTAGCCCCTAACAGGCTCAGCCCCTCCCCTAAGAGACCCCCCCCCTCGTGGAGAGACAGTTGGACACAGAACACAAGGCTCAGGGAGCCACTTTCTAGCCCTCAGCTGGCAAACAGGACAACAAATTCTCTTCCCATTCCAAGCACAGCGCACAGCCTGGCACCTGGGGTGGGCTGAGTCCAGCCTGTTGATAAGGCCCCAGCATTACATTTTTGCCCAGTGCAGACTTCACCGGAGGATTTCATGAGTGGCTGTGCAGGGAAGGGGAACAAGAACAAGACTGGGAGCCACATAGCTCCAGAGGCAGTGCCACCTTTGGGGCTGCCTTGCTGCATGACTTGGGCAAACCCCTTAACCTCTCTGTGCCACCTCTGCTCTTATGTAAGGGAGGCTAATAAGCCTCACTACCTCCAGGGGTGCAGAGGAATCAATGCCAGGATGTGCACAGCACAGGTGTGGCACCCCCCGATGCTCACTTACCAGAGCAGAACACGAGGCAGGGGAAGAAGGGCTCTGTGCGGCCCCCCAACCTCCACCCCAGGTCCTCGGGGCCCCCAGCCTGTGTCTGCCATGGCCAGGGGGATCCACATGGGCCTCCTGAGAAATGTCTAGTTCCACAGCTCTGGTGACATACAGGTCAGCTGACCAGACAGGCTCTCCGGAACCCTCCCTGGGTGGAGCCCACAGGTACTGGCTATACCTGGGATTATTTTCCCATCTAACTTCACCTCTTTCTCCTCCGTCTCTCCTCCACTCTTTCCCCCACAGCCCCCCTCCCCCTTTCTGCTCTGCCCCACTCTCTGCCTTTTTCTTCCCTCCCCCCATCTCCCCACTGCCCCCCTCCTCAGGGTGCATGTGGACAAAGAGGCATTTGTGGTCAAGGCTCCTAGTGGGCGTACCTGTATTCTTCTTGAACATATCCCATGGGTGCTTCTCCCAGCCCAGCTAGCATTTCTGAACTGGATGTGCATCCTGGGGTGCCTGAGCCCAGCTCTCAGGCATGGGGCCTACACTCAGCAGGCCTGTTCTTCCAATGAGCCTGCCTCCTCGGTTTGGGCCCCAGCAGACCCTAGAATGATGTAAGCCTGCTTCCTGGGGAAAGTGGAGAGCGTCTTTCCAAGGGCTTAGGAAGCCTCAGGTTGGTTTTCCCCACCGGCCGGTAGGCTGGGGCTGGATCGCTCAGCTAGGCCTTTGGAAGCACCCTTGGCAATCGTGGTCCTCATCACTGGGCCTGCAGCCTCACCTCATCTGAAGCCACAGCAAGTGCACGGCAGAGTGCTGGACCGGGAGCCTGTGGTCCTGGGTTTCCACTCCCCATTCCGACTCCTGCTAACCTTGGGAAAGACACTCTGTCTCTCTGAGCATCAGGTGCTCCATTTCTAAAATAAGATCCCTAATTTCTGATTTTATGTGGTTGTGTTTAGGATCAAGATGAGATAACGTGGGTGCAAGTCCCATTCAAGATACCACTGCTGCTCCCGTGGGTCCAGGCTATTGAGAGGTGTCCAGGAAAGTACTCACACAGATCCTGCTTTCAAGTGTGGAGGAGATGAAACCTGTACCTGACAAGTTCATAGTAATTGGACAGTTGCTCAGTGGCAAACAGACTGTGGAATGGAAGTGCTATGGGAAGGGGAGGTCAGGGAAGAGGGGGATCAGGGCTGGCCTCATGGGGTGGGGGCCATCCACCTGTGCCAGGTGCAGAGAGAGCACGGGGCTGCGCACGATCCCAGTGGGTGAACTACGGCTCTCCTCGTACAGGGTGGGAGACAGACCCAGCCCAACGGGTTAGTGAGCACAGGGTTAGGGTTAGCACATGGGTTAGCGAGTACAGGGGCGACTTGAACCAGCTCTTTCTGACTCTACAGACCAGATCACATTTTCTCAAACCTTTTATTTTTTAAAAAGATTTTATTTATTTATTATTATTATTTTTTAAAAAGATTTATTCATGGGAGACAGAGAGAGAGGCAGAGACATAGGCAGAGGGAGAAGCAGGCTCCCTGCAGGGAACCTGATGCAGGACTCGATCCCAGGACCCCGGGATCACGACCTGAGCCAAAAGTAGACGCTCAACCACTGAGCCACCCAGGTGTCCCTCAAAGCTTTTATTATGAAAGATTTCAGTACATGTAGTTGGGAGAATGGTTCAATAACCACCCATCACTTAGTTAATTATCACGAACATTTTGCCATGTTTCTTTTTCTCTCTGTGCGTGCGCGTGCGTGCTTGCACGTGTCTGTCTTTTTTTTTTCTTTTGTGGAATCAGTTGAAAGGAGATTGCAAACATGACTCTTGTCCCCTTGTTATGTCTGCATGCATTTCCTACAAATGAGGACAATTTCCTACATGAGCACATTACCATTATCCCGTCTAAGAAAATTAACTATTCCACAATACCCTCCAAGACCCAGCCCCTACTCAAAATGCTCCAAAATGCTTTTTACAGCTATTCCATATTGTGAGCAACCAGGCTGGGGAGCCACATTGCCCCCATGTGTGTCACTTAGTGGTGATCTCTCTTTTGCCTCCTTTTCATCTAAAGCATTCCC